TTTTTTTTGGTGTTTTTTCAGGAAGGTATACGAAATACTCGCCCTTCCCAATCCGAGTGTCCGGGGGGGGTTGGGGTTCTTTTCAGTTTTTTTGCGGGCTCACCGACGTAAAAAAGCGCCTCCAACAGGGGCTCCCAGTCTAGATCCAAGTTCACACCTCCTGGCACAGGTACCCCATTTTTGTGCCGGGGGTTTTGTTTAGAAAACACCCAGACGTCCCCCGACCACCCAATTTTTCTTTTCCAAAGTCCCGCGGTACAGGCTACTTTCCTCCTGGGACGTCATTTTCCCCCCAAAAATTTCAGGGACGACTGGGGGGGGGGGGGGGGGGGATCTGGAACGGAGCGTAAATTATCCCGTCCAATTTGACGCTTGGAGAGATGCACGGGTACCTATTGTGGGGGCAGAGATGGATCGGGAAGCGCTTTATTTTTTTCTAGAGATTTTACGGGTGTACCAGCAGGTTGCCCTTTTTCATGCTTCGGGTCTGTGTTCGTGTTCCAGACAGGGGTACTTTGTGGCGTCTAGATATTGCCCGTAGTTATGGCGGCGGCGTCGACCCACAGGCATCCTACAAAGAGCAAAGAGAAAAATAGAAACAGTTCGCAGAATGATCTATATGTTGTCGGCGTTAGCTTTGGTGATGACGGAGGCTTTGATGAGTGAGGAGGCATCTGGATGGAAAATCTACCGTTTTTCGCGTGGTTCTCAAGGTACCTTTACTTTGCCGTAGGCTTTGGTGAGTGATGCTTATGCCTCCAGACGGAACGATCTGCCGCTCTTAATCTGTTGCTAAAAAATGCCTATTCATATGCTGTACCGCCCACCTCCGGGGACAGCGTTGACTCCGCCACCGCGGCAGCCACAACCAGCCTTGCGAGGCACAGCAGGGACTCGAAGAAGAGCGCGTCCGCGGTCGTCCGCTCGAAGTTGCTGCAGTACATGATCACGCGCCCGTAGCTCCGCCCGACCTGACGGCGGCGGGGCAGTCCACAACCACGATGCATCGAAGAGGGTCACGTGCTGCAATAAGTAACCTGGTCTGCTGTGTTTGGGCTGCTCTCTCTAGGGTGCGCTTTTCTTTACTGACCGCGGCGGTGGCGTATCGCCCGCCGCGGGCAGTCCACAACCACGACGCGCCACGTACTACACAAACCTGGTCAAATGAGTTTGGGCTGCTCTCTCGAGGGAAATCTTTTCTTTTGCGGAAACGGTAAGACTTGGGACAGGGGCTGTCTAAGAAAAGGCGTTCCGGCGCGTCCTGTTGGAATAGAACTACGTCCTGTTGGAATAGAACTATAAATAACGTACTGATGACGCAGTTGCAGGAGGGTACGGGTGAGAATGGAATATTAACCGATACATTGAGGAGGGAAAGAAAGGAACGAGTGTACGGCTGGGCCGCCACTTGCTAACCGCACCTCCCGCAGCAATTTCGCTCGCTCTCGACCTTCGCATTTGTTGGTGCGATCTTCCCCCCCGCCACCCGCTCCACTTTGTGGTTGGATCTGCTGTTGCCGTTGTCGTTGTCTCGTAATGCGAATATCTTTCGCGACTCGTATGAAGTACGCCGACTTTTCATACACCCGTAGGGGGACGGGGGACATCAACGACGCGGGGGGGGCGTACTCACGAAAACGCATGTCGTAGTCGTTAGACTGTTGACCTCGCATCCCCAGCGGGGGGGGGCGGAGGGCTTACTCGCTGCTTGGCCTACAGTTCGAAAGGACAAGGGGAAAGGCATCTCAAAGAAACCATGTCTATTTATGTTTCCGATGCCTCCTTTTCTGTTCATAGACATAACTAATTGAGCATTGTGAACCATCGGGTGTTCTGCATGTTGTACCGTGTTGCACTCGCCCCTTTTTCGGGACAAGCCTCTACATCCTAACCGAAGACTACTTTACTGACTGTGCCTCTACACCAGGTGAGTCCTACTTGCGAACCGACTCGGGTCAGAGTGCTGTGAGGGATAGGAACGAATAGGCACATAGTAGTGTCACCTGCCTCTGGCAGCTTCCACACCGATGGAGTAGTCATGCAAGCGTCTCTTGTCGGAAACTCCCAAGGCCTGCAGCACTTTTTTCATGGTCTCTTCCTGTGCTGATCTCTCAGCGCACAAGTAAAGAGTCCGTTGGCCTAGGTTTTGTCCTTTGACGACTTTATTCGGCGTACGGGTCTTCACATGACTCACCAAGGCATGCAGGAAGTGCAGGTTTATCTCGGTGTTGTAGAAGCCATACAGAGGTTCCGCGACGACCATCTGCTCCGAAAGGCGAACGCGCCACGGCGTGTTCGGAGCACCAAGCAAGACGGAAATGAATCGACGGAGCCTGGATCAGATCCATGCACATTATTTCCAGCAATTTTATATCGAAAAGTAGGAATGGTGGTGCGAAACCTCTAGCCTATGGGTTCGGTGGGAGCTTTATGTATCGACTCCACATCATCGCCAGATATCCACACCAGTTCGGCCCAGTGCCCAGTAGATTCTTTGATGTGGATATTTTCAGCGGAAGCTGTGTAATTTGGTACTGGGTCGAGTCTTAGCTTGATGCCTACATGTACATTGAGAAGATTAAATTTCTCACTTGTTTGTCTTCGGCTAGTTGTTTCATGGTCGCAATGGCGTCTCGTGCGCCATCTCGAAGGCTGAAGCGCTTTGGTCGCTGCTGCTGCTGCTGCTGCTGCTGCTGCTGCTGTGGCAGTGCCGAGGCCGATCTCGTCGACGACGAGACGGACGCGGATAACCGAAACGCCCGACCAGCGGTATGCGATGCTGATGACGCCGTTGTCTGCGGTTCGCCCGGTGGTTTCTGCTGCTCCTGACCTTGACGCTGACGGTGCATCCAACGAACAGGCACGGTCTGTACTTCAGTAGTAAAAATAGTTTTTCAGACTGATGCCTCGTCGCTCTATCCTTACTTATCTGCTGCGCCGCTACCAGATTGAGCATATGGTGGTTGATGATACATGACACCCCAATGGACAAGCACAGGAAGACGTTGGCGTACACTCTGTATGCACACTCTGCGCGTAATTGGTTCTTGTTGTGCGGGATGATCCGTGTGGGATCCTGCCTGCGAGAGGGAAGCTCGCATGCTTGCATGCTTACTGCTGACCAATTCTCCAAATCACTGCGAAACATCGGCACCTCATCTGCGCACGCTGGTTGCGAAGTCGGAATCGGGCCTAAAGATGATTGATCAGCCAGCCGTTCCCCCGTCGTCATCGTATTCTCCATCGCGCTAGAGGCGGTGCTAGCTATGTAGCTGCGGCGCGTTTCGAACGTGCAACAACCAGGCTGGAAGTTGGAACCGTCAATAGATGCGCCGCATGTTTTTTTGCGGTATGTTGATTTGGATGTTTGATACACGCGTGTGTTTCCAGGAACTATCAAGTGCACTCGAGGGTGCGTGCATTATGGCGCCTTGCGAGTGAAGGGCGGGTGTTTGTCGCATCTCGGCACAGTGTGTTTGGTGGGTGGCAAACCTGCACTTGCTAACAAATATGCCAGTGGATGCATGCTTGACCCCCCCTATGTAGAAACCCCGTCGACATCAAAAACAACTCCATGATACCCCTCTTACCTTCCTTTCCACGTGGCCCCGGATCATGAGCAGAGTGCACCGTCTGGGCACACGCAGAGAGCACGCTGAGTACTTTGGCTGCGGACGGGGTCGCTATGGGAGAGAGCCATGGACCAAACGAGGGGCGCTTCTGCCGCGTTCGGAGAGGGGGAGCGCTCTCTGCCGTAGCTGCCGTGTTGGCGTTTACTTCAAAGGTGTCGGCGTTCGTTCCCTTGTCTTCATCAGTGCGCGGTGAGTGAGGGCCTTTGCTTGTAGAGGAGAGTAGGAGGAGCAAGAGACGGCCAGGCAAGGACTGCCGGTTGTCCATTTGTCGTGGGTAGCCTTGTGACAGTTGACATTGAAGTGTCTGCATTTGGTCTGCTCCATGTTGATGGTCCTAAAAACAAGTAGCAACCGCTGCTCGCCAAACCACCGCGTCGCTGCAAACACGGTTGCTGCTGTCAGCTCTTGCTGCTGTCATCGCATCATGATGCACGCATACACAGCATGCTCTCTCCATTGTTTGAATTTGCTTCCGTCGAAAGGCTTGGGCGGGTGCCATCCTTTCCTGCCGCCGTTCGCTGGCGTCCACAGCATCAATGCGGACCCACCCGTAGGATTCTAGTCTACGGAGAGCGTATGTGCACCGTCCCTATCACATGATACTCTGTAGTGCCAATACTGCTGTACTTTGTAAGCGGCGGTATGGCGGCGTCTACGCTGCTATGTAGCTATTCAGAGCCCGTCAGCAAACCGTATCCTGATCGTTACCGCTGCGGCTTGCAAAGTTCGTTACAATGTCAGAGGGAGGCCCTTGAGCTACAGCGTACGTACAGTAATAGACTTGTATTTTGCCAGAGGTCTCAAACAGGGAAGCGCGCGGTGTGTGTGAGGAGTTCATCGCGTAGACCGCTTGTTGCGGCGTGGGAAGGGCACAGCAGCTCCTTCCTTATCCGACCGTCCCCTACACTCTGGCATTTAAGATTATGCGGCGGGCCTCAATTGGCAACCACACGTCCTCTTCACTGCTGTCTCTTGACAGATTGGTACAAGAGACGCAAGCGTGGTGGTTTGGCTTGACAGCGACCGCAACGAAAACAACAGCCACGTAAACAGCAAGCACAACGACAGCTGCCAAACAACAACAAGGCTTACTGTAACCGCGTCAGCAGTACATTCGTGCAAGTGTTGACCCGTTTTTTTTAGAGATTCATACACGTGATGGTTGGGTTAGAACAATGGCAAGGAGATTTAAGATTTAAGCAAGTTCTGGAGGACTTCACCTAGCCCACAAGTTCTCAAGTCTGCAACACAATGATTATGCTGGATCCCTCGCCCCCCCCCCCTCCCATTGGCAACTAAACAGCAGGCTTTGAGGGTTTTCCATCCTCGTTGCATCCCACTTCAGCATCCCACCGCCGTGGCAGTAGCAGTAGGCGGCGTCAATCGTCCCGCAGATGGGTCGGAGGCGCACGCGGCGGGAGTTCCGGAGGCATTACCATGGATGGCGGCGGCGGCGGGGATGAGGGGGGGGGGGGGGCGCCACCGCATCGAGGAGAGCGAGGGGGGGGTGAGCGTGCTGAGGGTGACGGTGGGCGGGAGAGACCTGTCGTTCGAGACCGGCAAGGTCGGGAGGCAGGCGAGCGGCGCCGTGATGGCGAGGGACGGCGAGACCGTCGTCTACAGCACCGCCTGCACCGACAGGGTGAGCGAGTATATGTAGTGAGAGCCGGCCGGCTTCACGCAAGCGAACCACTTGGCGGTACAGTAGTATGTACACATCCCTACAGCAGGAGGATCAAATGTTGTAGACGGCGGAATCACATCCTGACAGATGCAAAGCGGAAGGCACGTAGTTTCCCTATACAATTGTCCGGGTTGCGAACTGTGCCACCGGGCCGACCGGTGTGGCTCCATATTTTTGTGCGTCTTACTGACTTGTTATTTAATTGGACACCAGGTAATCGGTAAGTAACTACCGTGGACACGAAGGTGCTGAGCCATAGGAGCATCCAAAAAAAAAGCTGTCGAAATAGGGAAAGGGCGTGTGTACGCAGGGCCGAAGAAGATAACACCCCCCATCTCCGTTGCGTTGGCGGCTGTGCGCATGTCGTGTGTGAGGCTTTCGTTAGAAACCTTACCCCGCGTACCCCGGGTGTGATTTATTGTAAGAGTGTGTGATCGCTGCAGCGCTCGGTGTGACACGCTGGCAAGCATGCCGTGGACGATGCGGCATCGCATTCGCTTTATGCTTGTTCTTGGAAGCAAGGATTTCTTGAACTTGCTTGAACACAGTCAAATATGAGCCGCATGCCTATCATCTGTCTTCGTATTCCACGTGGTCCGCTGCAGGGCGTGTGATAAACTTCTTGAAGGGTGTAGTATCCTACTTCTTGTACATCATTTCGAAGCCGATATCTAGCCATCAGAGCATTCAGCGCTGACTACATCCTAACCCTAGCGGCTTCTATCCACGCCATGAAACATTGCGCCGCCTCAACCTGTTTTCTCCTCCGCGTGTTCCATGTTCTTCTCTCTCCCCCCATCCCACACCATATATGTCATGTGCCGCCCGGCTAAACGCGAAGAAAACCACGACGTCGAACTTCTCGCCTCTGCGCGTGGACTACATGGAACGGTTCTCAGCGGCCGGAATGACGTCCGGCGGATACAACAAGCGGGACGGAAGGTACCATTTCGTACCGTACCATACCGTATAATTATGTACCGTGACGCTTGTAGCAAATTGTTGAGGCCCTGCGGTGATAGTATGTGGGGTTATGTTTTGCTGGTGAAGAGATACCGTAAGGTTGCGGGTCAGCACACCCCCGTGCGGTCGTTTGTTAAACATTTTCGGCATTTATTTTCATCGCACCCCTGTGCGATACTCCGGACCGTGCGATGTCTCCACACCCTGTGCGGAAATTGAATTTAATAATTTGGTTTCGATACATGACGCACACCCCTGTGCGATGACTCCAGTATGTGCGGTCCTGAGTAAACCATGGAGGCGATATTGTCAAGAATTTTTAACGCACACCCCTGTGCGACAACTCCGGTATGTATGTGCGGTACTTGAAAGAAATAACTTTGCAGACGCACGGACACCTCAGTTGTGCTGCGGGTGCAGGCTCCACACGCAACGTACACACACACCACGCGACGTCAGCCAACCACAGCAGTTAGCCCGATGGATGCTAGGTTTTCGAGAAAGCACACACACACACACATACACACGGGGTCCCAGTTAATGGCATTAGAAGTGTTTTGTGCTTTCAACCGCACTGAGACTAACGTTTTTTCGTTGGTCAGCCGGTTGGTGCGGTCGATGCCAATAATAAAAAAAATCACACACAAAAAAAGCGGCGAAATGTAACGCGGCGAAATATGAAATGCCGCGGGCGGAAAACATGGGTAATTGCCCGCCGTCGAGTTGTGCCTACACGCGACACACAGTCGCTTGGCAATCATGTCGGAGTTTTTCAAGTACGGGGGGTACCGCGATCTCAGGGGCTAGTGGTGGCGGCCCTTCCTCTGCGGACGCGGTTGCTGTCCCCGTTGGCAGCAGGAGAGGCCATCGACGAGATGCTTGCGGCAAACGACCCCACACCATCACACCACAAAAGGTGCTGTAAATTGCGAGTCATCGCACCCCTGTGCGGTAGCTCCGGACCCTGTGCGGAAATCGAATAAAATAATTACGTCATTTAATTTTCATCGCACTCCTGTGCGACGACTCCGGACCATGCGCTGACCCGCAACCTTAGGGTAAACGCCCCTTTGTTCCCTCGACCCGACTGCGTTGTCTTCAAAACAGCAAAACTCCTTTTATGTATAGCCTGCAGAGTTGGCGGCCCATTTCTTCTCCGTTTGTTTCGGTTCACGTGTTTTGTTTCACTTTGTTATTGTCATGCTCTCCCCTGCCCCTGGCCCCCCCTCCAACCTTCTCAGAGACCAACCAGTCTTGTCACGTAAAAAAGAAGGTTCTGTGTTTCCTTTCCGTCCGTTTTTTTGTTCGCGTGTTTTGTTTCTGGTCATGTTCTCTCTCCCCTTACCCTCCCTGTCTCTCTTCGCTGTTTTTTTTTTTTAACAGGGCGTCGGACAAGGAGACGCTGGTGTCACGCCTGATGGACCGCCCCCTCCGCCCGGCCATGCACCCGGGCTGGTTCCACGAGACGCAGCTGCTGTCGTGGGTGCTATCGTACGACACCGTGCACCCGCCGGTGCCCCTCGCCATCACCGCGGCGTCGGCGGCGCTGGCCCTTAGCAACGTGCCCCTGGTGCGCGCGATCGCTGGGGTAACGGTAAGTTTGTGTGCAGCAGCAGTATTTAGTAGTAGTGGTAGTAGTAGTGGTAGTAGTAGTAGTAGTAGTAGTAGTAGTAGTAGTATAGTAGTAGTAGTAGTAGTGGTAGTAGTAGTAGTAGTAGTAGTAGTAGTAGTGGTGGTGGTTGTGGTAGTAGTAGTAGTAGTAGTAGTAGTAGTAGTAGTAGTAGTAGTAGTAGTAGTGGTACTGGTACTGGTAGTGGTAGTGGTAGTAGTACATGACGGGCCTGCAGGTAAGAAAACAGGAGTATTTCGTTACGAAACTGAAGCTCAATTTCTCACGGAAATTACAAAGAAAATAGGTCTAAATCTCAGCGGGGGATCCTGTACTAGACGATACTTCTATGAAACAACCTGTGCTCGACAGTAGTGGCGATGAAGTTAGAAAATAAACCTCGACCCGGTTTTTGACGTTACTTGTCTCCGGGGCCGTTCGGTATTATCGTGATTTATGCCAGCAGGCAGCTTTTGAGGGAGGGATGGGTTGTCGCCACGGACACACACACCTTTTTGGGGATTTTGCTCTCTCCTTGATATCTGGTGTCTGGTCGTGATGCGTTGTTTGTCGTACAGTACACAAGCGTGTTGTGTTCTGCTTGGTACCACACGCCTTTCACCCGTAGCATCTCGGGGCTCTCTCACGTACAGCACGGCTTTGTAATCGCCTTTATCGGTGCGTCGTCTCAGTCAATTGATGTCTCGCACCCGTGGGTGGCGACAGGGGGGTACTTGTCTTATGTTTTCCCTTCTCTCTCTTGCAGTTTGTTGTTGCGTGTTGTATTTGCTGCTCTATTAGTTCTCTGGTAGTGTCTTCTTGAGAAAATTGATCACGGCTGTTTGTAGTGCTCGAAGAATGCAAGAGGGAGACTATAATACTGCTGTCGTTTTGTCGTTTCATGGAAATATGAACTATTGCTTGCAGCGTTATAGTCGAAAAAAACAACTGGGGGGTGGTTGGCCCGGCCATCTTTACGCTTCGTGATTGTTACCGCTTTCGAGGTTGTGTGGTTTTCATCTTTACGGCAGTGGTTGGTCGTTTGTCACTGTGTTTCGTCTGCGGCGTTTCATGCTTGCGCTCTTTCGTGTTTGGTCTGCTCGGTGTTTTCTTTTTCTCAGGTCGGCATGGACTCGGAGGGAGAACTCGTGGTCAACCCGGAGATATCCGTGGCGGCAATGTCACCCCTTAACCTCACCATCGCCGGCACGGCGTGAGTTTCAGTGTCTGTTTTTTTTTTTTTTTTAATACAGCGGACCAAGATTCCTGCACGCAACACGAGCCCGAAGGATGTTGTTCATGGTGGTGTCGTTGAACGTCCGTTATCGTTGTTGTCCTAGAACCCTGCAATCGAGACGTCGTTTTCGTCACCATGCATTGCCCGAACGCGTTCTTCTTGGCACTAGCGGGCAAGCCGTAACACTAGTGCTGCCATGTTTTTGTGTTTGCGTTTGCGGAGAACTGGTGTTCTTCTATACTTTCAAATATTTCACAAATTGTTTCGCCGCATCTTTAATTTCCTTTTCATTTCCCCCCCCACGTGTCGCAACGTTAACAATTCAACCAATAAACAGGGATGGAGTCCTAATGATCGAGGGGGAGAGCGACTTTGTCTGCGAGGAGGACATGATGCGCGCCATTGAGGTGGGGCACGCGGCGGTCAGGGACTTATGTCTAGGTGAGAGATTTTTCGACACGTGTGTTATAGTATTCGAGCGTTCCCAGGTTTGCGAGCGCTTTTATATTTGACCTCCTTTTGTTCGTGTGTGCTTCTGTGTTTCTCGGTTGATCCTCGCGTGTGTAGGAAGGGGGTATTTGTTGTTTGCGCTGGAGAACATGAGAGCGTCGTTTACGCAGACGGTGTTCTCCTCAGTGCGGGCCGGGTCTGCTGTGTTTCGTCCTAGGTCGTTTGTTCTCTTGCTCTGTTGTTGTCTCATGGAAGAAAACGCGAACAAGTAACCCGACCCTCTACCCCACCCCCCCGCCAACCGTAGATAGTACAAACGGGGCACTGTGGAGGAATTTCTCGAATTTAGCACGGTATGCCGTTTGCCAGAGCACGAAAATATTGCAGCGTATGTGCATGCCTTCGAGCTATGTTGCCGAAGAGAGACGAAAGCGTTTGTTACGTCTGCGTACTTCTGTTGCTCTTGAAGGGACAGGCTCATTTTTTTTTTGTGCTCGAGACGGGTGTTGGGGTGTAAACTGCGAACTCCGAACAATCCCGAAAAACTGTACAAATAGTAAGAGCATGGCCGCTGTGGGGGGAAGAGCAAGAGCAGCTGACCACAGCAACTGCAACAGCCGCGGCGAAGATTTTATGAGCAGCCTTCCCCCCTCGCGTCCCGCTTGAACTGCTCCGGAAAGGTATCGAGGAGTGGAGCGAGGTGGCAGGCAAGGAGAAGAAGACGGACACTCTTAGGCTGCCGCCGGAGGGGTTGGACGAGATCATGGAGAGAGACTTCCAGGACAAGGTTTGTATCTACATACGTCAGCAACCGCTTCCCCCCGAGATAGTATCCGCACTTTTTTGCTTTTTTTTTTGTCGCTGGTCGTCCGGGATGAATGTCAAAATAGTAGATGCGGTTGTTTCCCTGTATTTTCCCGTGTTCGCTTTGTTCTTTCGCCCCTACCGGTATGTTGTACTGTACCTGCCGTGACCGCATCCGCCACTGACACGACCGCGATGCCGGTCTCGTATCACACGCCGATTTTCGTACTCGCGGACCCCCTCCCCCCCCCCGTCATGTCCCGCCTGTTCTTCATCCAGCCCCAAAAGTTACTGCCGTCCTCGATGTCTTCGGTGTCGCCGTCTCGTCACCTCGTTGTTGTTGTTGTTGTTGTCGTCGTCGCCGATGTCTTCGGTGTCGCCGGTTCGTCATCTTCGTCATCGTTATTGTTGTTGTCGTCGTTGTCGTCATCGATGTCGTTGTGTTTAGCTTTTTTTTTTACTTTATTTGATTTTCTTAATTTGTAATGAGAGAAGACTTAATTTTTTTTTTTTTTGTCTAAATGTTTTATTTGTTGTTTTCAAACTGTCTTCGGTGTCGCAGTTTTGTCACCTTCGTCGTCGTCGTTGTCGTCGTTGTCGTTCGCCTACTGTAGGTTGACCACGCCCTGTTCGAGTCGGGGGAAGGGAAGGACGACCAGTCGTCGGCCATGAGGGAGCTGACCGGGCTGACTCGGGAAGCGCTGCAGGTGGCAGAGGGGGAGGAGCCCGGAAACGGGCGCTACAGCACGTACGATGTCGAGGTGCGTACCGGTGGTTTCTGTCGTGCTGTTGTAGCTGTGTGGTGGAGTGCTTGGGAGTTTTTTGTTCGTGCAACGGTCGGGTTGTTGTTGTTGTCGTTGTTGTCGTTGTTGTTCCTGGATGTCGTCACCGATTGTCACAATCGCGCTTCCAGTCTGAAGTTCTGGCCGGTGGGGGGGGATTTGTGGTGCGGCGCGTATTATGCGTGATGCCCGTGATGGTTTTGTTGGCTTTTCGAGGGAAGAGTTTTTTTCGAGCGGGACCGACCTGTGGCACGCTGTGCCTTGACATCACGTTGCTGCCTGCTTGTATTTATAGTGTGATCAAAGCGGTGATAATAACTTTTTTTGTTTTATTCGGTCTCGGTGTTGTCTTTTGTTGTGAGGTTACTAGCATGATTTCACCGAACTCGACGTTCTTGGCAAAACCGCTGCCGTTGTCGTTGACCATCGAGACGAAATCTGGCCCTCCGTCAAAGAAGCACTCGAGGGGCCTGGGTTTCAAAGTACACACGCGTGTTGGTGTGAATCTTGCGAAAAAGTATGCATACCTTGTCTTGTTGTCTCATGGTTGTTTGTTTTTCTCCCTGTCCCGCACGAACAGACTGCGCTGAAGAAGCTGTACTCGAAACGGTTACGGACAATTGTCAAGGAGACAGGGCGGCGCTGCGACGGGCGAAGAACAGACGAGGTAAAGCCGTGCCTGCTTGGTGCGTCCAGTTGGTTGTCGTTTAGCAGTTCCGTCGCGGGTGCGATTCCGTTAACGCTATCGTCCCGCACCATACCGGAAGAGCGTGGTACGGGTTGCTGTAGTCTGTGTCGGTCTGCCGAATGTGGCATGTGGTTTTTCTCATTTTCCAAAAAGTGAGCTCGGTAACCGATGTTTTCCGTTGATTGCGTTACACCCTACCAGCAACAGCCACACAATTCTGTAGGTACATGTTCGTCTGTTCCAACTAGCTACCCCCCGTGATTTCGCGAAACTCCGTCCTCTAGAGGTTTCGTGGTGAACGTATGGCTTAAAACATGAATAGCTCTGATGGACTGAATCATGTAGAGCGCGAGTACTACTATAGGGGACAGAGCGCCAAGACTTAAGTCGACATGAGGGCGGCATTCATGTCGATAAGGGAAATGCATTGGTTGTTCAATGCGTTCTCGGTCTTTGGCCAATCTCCTTCCTTTCCGTTCACTTCCTCTATGATTTCCCCGCAGGTCCGACCAATCAGCATCGAGACGGGCCTGCTTCCCAGGACGCACGGTTCGTGTCTCTTCACAAGAGGGGATACTCAGGTGCTTGGTCCATGTTTTTTTTTTTTTTCTGAATGTAACACCCTAAAACCCTAAAACCCTAACCCAAATCTAGACCTCTCTTTCCACAGGTGAGAGTCCAGGAAAAAATTGGTAATGAACCCATAGATTTTGTTTTTTTCATTCTCGCCCCGTCTGTTGTTGGTGTCAGTGGGCACCTTTCGATTTATGTATTTGATGCATCACACAGGAGGAAGTTTTCCCTCAGCCTTCACTGCAGTGCCCTTGTGTTTTTCGCGACTGTCCGCGTTTCACTATTTGGCGAGAGTTCAGTTCACTCCCTCTGCCTAAAATGTCCATGCTGCTGAAAACATCAACATTGACGGGAAACCTTTCGAGTTTTCTGTTTTTTTCCAATTCGGTTCACGTTGACCGTCTTGTCTTGCCGCCTTTGCTGCTACCTACCACTCTATCGCCATCAGGTATTGGCGCCTGTACACTTATGGTCCGATGTGAAACACGTGACACGCAAGCGGCGCAGCACTTGTTGCCTATAACTAATCCTTTGCTACCGTTGACCGGAAGTTGTGCTGCCACTGCCCCTGCTGCCCCTACCGCTGCTGTTGTTGTTCGTTTTGATGGAAAACCCGTCCCACAAGGCCATCGCAACGGTAACTCTCGGGGGCTCCGGTTCGAGCCAGAAAACCGACGGCATCACCGGTATGATCTTGAAGCACTTCTACCTGCAGTACACGTTCCCGCCCAGCTGCGTGGGAGAGGTGAGGGCCATGATCTCGTCACTCTTATTTTGCTTGTTGTTGATCGGTTCTCCACACTGTCAGTCATTGGCCGTGTTTTACGTGTGTTTTTTTTTTAATTTATTCTTTTGCCCTTTGGATGAGAATTGTTCTTTTCGTTTGACGTTTGCTCTGTGTGTGGCTTAATCCTTCGTCCCGTACCCGCTCTGCCAGACTTGTTGAGTGTGCTGTCGTTTTTGTTTTTTCGGGGATCGCCTTTATTTTACTGTGTGCTGCTCTCGTCTTGCACCTGTGTTTTTCTCCATCTCTCTCGGCTCGTGTCCTTGGCGGTGTCGGTCGAGTTGTTTTGCCCTCCAGCATGCACCGTCGTTCATCGTTCACAGTCTCGCGCTAGCGGTCCTTGTCTCTGTTTTGGGAAGCGCGCCGAATCGATAGGACCCTCCCTTCCCACAATTATCTAAATTTACCGTGTAATTCGTGTCGTGTGCATCAGTCATCGGCGAAAAAGCGCCCAGTGTGACGACCCCACTCCCACCACTGCCATTAGCACCACCACCCAACAACGACGACCACAACAACAGTAATTTCATAGCCGCCTTTCAATCCTCGGGCTAAGACCAGCACTCCCACCTAAGTTTTCCGACGCCAAGAGCACATGCACGGCCACTGCCGAGCACCGACGATGGCGAAGCAACCGGGCACCAACAAGGACTTTTTTTTTTTTTTTGCTCCTCAGACGGGCCGAATCGGTGGCCCCGGCCGCCGCGAGGTGGGTCACGGCGCTCTTGCGGAGAAGGCCCTTTCCTACACCGTCCCCCCCGTGGTGAGTCAGTCGAGTGAACGCCGACGTCGGGCATAATTGTATCTGTGCAAGTCGCAGTGCTCCCTTGTGGCCCCGTGTATGCATATGTATTTATTTTTAGGCATGGTGCATGCTACCTTGCGGTCTCTCTCTCGCGGCTTTCCTGCGGTTGTAAGCTAGGTCAAGAAAAGTCTTGCATATCGGTGTGTATTTGGGTACCTTCTCGGTCTCGTGTGCGCCTCTTCTTTCTTTTTGGTCGGACTCTGGCTGGGATTCGGCATTAGTATCGTTGAAGCGTGGGGCAAAATGCTGATTTTTGCTGGGAAGTAACGATTAGCCCCATTCACTCCATGATGGCATTTTTTTTTGTTGTCTTGTCTCTGTGTGGATCATCTCCCTCTCCCTGCAGTATTTTTTTTTGCTTGATCTATTGGCTTTTCAAATGCGCCTCTTGTGACCTTTTTGTCCTCTCTCTTACTCTCACTACTGCTGTGCCATGGTCTTGTTGCTGTTTTTTTTTGTGTTCAACGGCCTCTGCTCTTTCACTGCGACTTGCTTTTTTTTTTTCGCGCGCGCGTGCGTCGTTCCGCAGAACGACTTCCCGTACACCGTTCGGGTGGAGAGCCTCATCACCGAGAGCTGCGGGTCGAGCAGCATGGCCAGCGTCTGCGGCGGCAGCCTCGCCATGATGGACGCGGGGATCCCGGTCTCCTCTCCCATCGCGGGGGTGGCCATGGGGTACGTGCGTAGTTTTTTTTTTTTTTTTTCCTCTACGTGTGGTGAGCGTCGTTAGTATGGTTGGTCACCTCGGTCTGTCTGTCTGTGTGGCGTGCTGGTTGGTTGGTGTCTTGCCCGCTCTGTCTGTACTGTCGCAGGCTTCATTCAGACACAGAAGGAGTTTTTCGAGAGTTGTTAAGAGCAGCTTTGGGTGAACCTTTTTCGCTAGGAAAGGAAAACAAATGCGTGAGGAGCATGAGAGGGAGGAGAGAGGATGGCAAGCGAAGGACGGCTAGAGGAACAGCAGTCAGTGAATCAGTGAATCGGAATTTCTGGCGTGCGGACCGGCACGTTTCCCACCGCATATTGTTTCTGCAGTTCCACGACCGTCACCTTCGCATGCTGCCTCTGATACCTTGTTCTGAGCACGCAACCCCCTCAGGTACTGCGGTAGTCAACACGACGTGCCTGACTGGCTTGCTTGCTCTCCCTGCATGTCAAACGTTGCTGGTGTTGCTATTTCCGCCAGTACTGCTGTAGAGGGTTATTTCTGCTGAAAGAAAGAGGAGGCGGTATATAGCGGGGCTACAGAAGCCACGGTCACGTTCAACGAGTCTATCCTTGTGGTTCACCATGCCTTCCGGTGTTATCTCCCCGGTTGTGTACGTTGTCTGGTGGCGCACCCTTTTGGTGCCGCGCAGGCTGCTGCTGGATGAGGAAGGCGGCAGCGGCGAGGAAGCGGTGGTGCTTACCGACATTCTCGGACTCGAGGACGCGCTTGGCACCATGGACTTCAAGGTTGCGGGCAACGACAAGGGTGTGTTATCTTCCTTAGTACCAGGAAGTGTCATCGGGGGGGGTGTTTTCTTCCGTAGCACCAGGGAAACCAGGGAAGTGTCATTGGGGGTGCTATCTTCCGTAGTATCAGGAAGCGTCATCGTGGGTGTGTTTTCTTCCGTAGTACCAGGGAAGAGTCATCGTGGGGGTGCTATCTTCCGTAGTATCAGGAAGTGTCACCGAGGGTTCGGGTTTGGGATAACTCTCTGTGGTAATGACGGCCACAAAAACAGTACCATACCGCATGTTACGAGCACCCTCGAAATAGTGTTGCACCCCATGCCTGCGTGGCCACCGGACAATCGCACTGCTTCGTTGTGGTCCCGAAATATCAATACCAACACCAACACCCGAGTAATTTTGTGCCGAGCTTGTATTCATGTGCCCAGGTCAGTTTTTATCGAGCGGTTTGGTGTCCCACACTATGTTCGAAGCCCCCAATGAACCTAAATACGCGGGCTTTGGGGACATTGTATCGAAACTGATCCCTATGGTGAGGCGCCGTTCCGCTCTCTTGTTTGAGTTTTTTTTTTGTGGTTTTCTTGTCGTACTGATTGGCTGTGTTTGTAATGAGAAGACCAGGTCTTAACCACCCCTCTCGCATGAATTGTGCCATGTTTGTTTTTGTTATGCCAAACCGATGCTTTCTGTGCCCCCCGCCCCCTCCCCCCCCCCGGTGTTTGCCATCGGGGTTGGGTTTTCGTCGCTTGGCAACGACGTTGTAAAACAAGCCGCCCCCCCCGGTGTTTGCCATCGGGGTTTGGGTTTTCGTCGCTTGGCAACGACGTTGTAAAACAAGCCCCCCACTCGGTGTTTGCCATCGGGATTGGGTTTTCGTCGCTTGGCAACGACGTTGTAAAACAAGCCAATTCACTTCGTGAACTTGGCAACCAGGTTACCGTTTTTTTTTTTTTACCTCGTTTTTTTTTTTGGCGGTAACCATAATGGTGGTCGAGTAGATCATGTTGTGCGGGGTGGAGAAACCTCACTCCGCGCAACGGGGGATGATGGCACCACGTTGTGTTAAAATGGTCAAGCTTCCTCGAGGCAGTTACACAGTGCTTACAACTGTCTCTGGAAGTAAAAGCACCAGAAAATAAATTAAGTCATACGTAGCTGTCATCCGTACGCAAGGAAGTAAGCACAAGATGCCGAACACCCTTAGCAGGATGCAGCTCACCCTTCATGCGACTCGCCAAATACCTCACGGCGCTTCGCGCTTGGTGATGTGAGAGCCTGGTCCGGTGAGAACCCGGCGTGCTCCGTCCCGGCTTTGTAGGGATGCGAGGTCAATGGTCAAACGACTACGGCATGCACGACTATGAGTACACCCCCCCCCCCCCCCACCCCCCCCCCC